ATTGCGTTACGATGATGGTTAAATAAGTTTAAAATGTCAAAGTATTGAGAGCAGCACCCACACATGGTCAGTGCCATTTAAGTGCTTGTTCAGCAAAAATAAAAACAGAAGGAGCATGGGATGTAATAGAGACAGCAGCAGGGGACCTGGTTCTGGTCTGGTTCCCTTTGGAGAAGTAACCTAGGGCAAGTTCTTTCCCCTCTCTGGGCTGGGTTCCTGCTGGGAGTTGGGGGGTGGTTAGAGTGGAGGGGTGTGTGGAGTCCACACCTGCTGGCTTGCTGGGAGGCCTCTCATGGTCTGCATACCTTTGGCCTCTCCCTGTGCTGTGATTTCAGAGCTAGGCCAGGGGAGGGTGAAACTCGAGCTGGAATGTTTGTACTCCCAGAAAGAAGGGCAGCCCACTAGGCCTTTTCAAGACTCACATAGTGTCTTGCAAATCAGGTAACAGACACCAGCGCATTGAAGGGGCCGATTGTGTGGCTGGGACAAAACTCCACTGACCTCCCTTATCGCCTATCCTCTCTGGCTTCTTTTTTCTTTGAACTGAGAGAGAAAGGGGTCTTTGAAAACGTCAGTTTTGAAACCAGAGTGGTATGAGAATCAAGGTCTCAGGTGGCCCATCTCTGCTCCCCCGTGTATACGCACAATAAAGCTTCTCCCTGCCAGAGTGGGAGGCGCACACACTTGGGAGCTTGTCTGAAATCTGAGTCTCTGTGCCCTGGTCCTGTGACTCAGGGCAAGCTGGCCAGCAATCTGAGCCCGGGTGCCACTCCCTCCAGTGGGCACCAGCAGAGCCGTCTCTCTCCTGTTAATCACCTGGCAGGAGGGCTGGTTGAGGAGTACAGAGGCTCTGGGAATTTGCTGCTGAGGCCAGAGATTCTGCAACTTGGGGTGGGGTCCTGTGGGAGCTCTAAGCCAGTTTAGGGGTGAAACAGAGCTTGCAGCCAGGGTCTCAGTGCCATCCTGTTCTGGGTGCAAGCTCCTTCTCCGGCCCCCTCCTCACTCCTGGGTCTGATGCTGGACTCTGACCCTGTTTGCAGCGACAGCCCAAACTAATCCTGTCCCCATACAGCAGGCCTGGGGGACCCTGTGTGTGGGGAGGGGAGAAGGGTCTACACTTCTCCCTGGGAACAGCAAGAGCTCCTTCTACATTTCACCTGTTCCCTAGAACCCTGTCCAGCCCATCTGTCTTCAGGGTCAGCTCCTGAAACCAAAAAGCCCCCTCAAGTCACTGCCTCTCCAGGGCTCCCTGGGCCTGCAGGGAAAAGCCCAAGCTCTTTGGTCTGCCTTACACAACCTCCTACCCCTCACCACATCAGACCCTTCACAGGAACCACGCCGAGACTCCCCCTCCCCGACTGCCTTCAAGCTCAGCCCAGGAATCTTTGCCTTTATTCTTGACTTAGAAAAATCCAGGGCCCAGATCCAATATCACCTGCTCTGGGAAGCCTCCCACTGGCGAGAACTAATCCTGTCTCTGAGCTCCCTGTCTGCTCTCATTTAGGACGTGGTTTATTAAGCCCGCTTCCCCGGCAGCCCAAGCTCTTGCAGGGCAGAGTGCTTGCCAGGCTTCCCTGTGGGTGCCCAGAGCAGGACCCGTGCTCGACAGATAACTGAGTCATATTTATCAAGTTAAGTAGACGTGGCTGCATCCCCCTTTGTCCTTACTGTTTTAAGCTGTTTGTTCGCACAATTCTGTGCAACAGCGATCTAGGATAGAATTAGAACGGCATAATTTTACAGCACTGAAGCTGGAAGCTTGATAGTTCCTTGCCTACATTGCTTATTTTTACTGAAGCCAAGGGTAACGGGGAGAGGGATGATGCTGGGGAAAAAGGAGGGGCCCCAGGGTCTCTCCATCAGCCCCACCTTCTAATAGACGTGGGCATCGCGGAACAACCTCATCATGGCTGGGTGGGGGAATCCACAAATATCTGCAGGACAAGGACACGCTGCTAGAGAGATTTGCCATTCCAGGGGGCCTGGAACCTGGGACCCCTAGATGACGATTCTGGTCACCTAGAAAGAAGCCACTTGATAAAATCTGAAGATAAGACCCGGCTATAAATCCATGGAATCTTGGTCCTAAAAGGGACCAGTCAACTCCATCATTTCATGGATGGGGACACCGAAGTCTATGGAAAGACAGCAACTAGCCCAAGGGCACAGGATACGTGAGAGACAGGGCCGAGGTTAGAAGTGGAGCATATAACCTCTGATCCCGCATTTTCCGGCTAAGCTGCACTCTCTATACATTAGGAGTTATTGGCAGGTTAGTGAAATGGAACTGAAGTGTTGTTTTCTTTAGGAATCTCTGTTAAACAGAGATGAGCAATGACTGGTTAAAAGGGGGTGGGGAGAATACCTTTTTAATTCATTTTAAAATGAAAAACATTGGGTTGTCAGAAAAGTCATGATGCATTTTTGCATAGAAAAATATGACTTTTCTGACAACCCAATATATCCAGTGAAAAATTCAGTTAATTCCATAGCATTCATTATTACCTTCTCTGTCCTGGGTGTTGACCTGGGCACCTAGGATATAGTTCTAGGTTGAAGACCCTTGTCTAGTAGACCGTCTAGGACCCCCTCCTATGGCCCTGCCTATACCTGCAGCGCGGCTTGCCAAACCATATACTAGGAGCCTTCCGTCTCTTGATTCTGTGTGACCTGACTGCAGAGGCAAAACTGAGCATTGAACAAACTTCTCAAATGTACCAACTATGCAATGAGATGATAAGACATCAAACAAGTGAGAGGGATTCTTCTAGCTCTTTCTTTCTTAGCTAATTCATTCCATGACACATTCCCCATCATCCCCTAGCATCTGGCAGGACAGAAAGGTGACATGACCCCGTGAAGACTCAGGGGCAGCACCATCTAGGTGGCGATACCTGCAGGGCTGGGGCAAGGTTCTTGGAAGGCTGTGTATGTCCTGAGTCAGTAGCCATTATATGCTTCTCCTTCTCCCATAGCTGGGATCAGGAATCAAGGGTCCAGGAATCAAGGTTGGAAACAGAGAGGCTCCACTCACTGCTTCCCCTAGTGGCCCACTAGCCGAAGTTCTGTTTTCCTGTTCCCATGACCTTCTGCTCTGGTGAACTAGAAGTCTTAGTCTCATAGGGAGCAATGCTTCCTCCCGGAGACATAACAGTAACACCACTGAACTGAAAGTCAAAACTGGCACCCAGCTCCTTGGGGCTCCACATCCCTCTGGCCAACAGGCTTGGGGAGTGATTATGCTAGTTGGCATTACCGATCCTGACTACCAAGGGGAAACTGAATGGCTACTCCACAATGGAGGGAAGAAAGGGATGTCTGGAATACAAAAGACTCCGCAGTCTGTCTCTTTGTATCACTGTGTCTTGAGCTTAAGGTCAGTAGAAAACGATAACTACTCAGTCTAGGTGGGACTACCAATGGCCCAGACCCTTCAGAAAGGAAGACTTGGACCACCCTATTAGCTGAGAAACCTGGACCAGCTGAGATCCTTGCTGAAGGCAAAAGAAAAGCAGAATGGGTAGTGGAAGAAAGTAATTATAAGTACCACCTACAACCATCTGTCCAGTTATAGAAATGAGGACTGTGATTGCCACGAGCATTTCTTTCTTATTTTATAAACTTGTGTATGTGTAGCTGTGCATAGCAAATATATTGTTTCTTCTCCCTTTTATTCCCTTATCATGTAATATAGATGTGTTGACTTTATATCATAGTACGTAAGTATTGTTAGTTCTACCTCACAGTATGTAAGTTACGCAGTATCAGGAAAGAGGGCAAACTTCACTCAGGGCCTTTACCTGCTTTTCTTGGGAGATGGGGTTAGTATGTTTTCCACTGCACACAGGATAGCTACATCATGTTAGGCAGAATTATGACCTTGTTATTCTCTTTATTTAGAAATTAACTATGGTTTAAAGAGAGAGATATGCATATCCAGGTGACAAGGGATAGACTCATGATGGTCAATTTTATGTCAACTTGACTGGACCAAGGGGTGGTCAGACATTTAGTCAAATATTATTGGGGGTGTATCTGTGAGTGCATTTCTGGATGAGATTAACCTTTTGAATCAGTTGACTGAGTAAAGCAGGTTGCCCTCCCTGATGTGGGTGGGTCCCATCCAATCAGTTGAAGGACTGGATAGAACAAAAAGGCTGATCCTCCCCTGAGTAGAAGGAAATTTTCTCTTGCCTAATTTGCCTTGAGCTGGGACACTGCTTTTCCTCTGCCTTGGGGCCTGAATAAAAAAACGTTAGCTCTTTCTGAGTCTTCAGCCTGCTAGCATTTAGAATGGAACTACACCAGCAGGTCTCCAGCTTGCTGACTGCAGATCCAGGACTTGTCACCTGCCTCTATTACTACCTGAGCTGACTCCTTATAATGAACCTTTCTATATTTATTTGTATCTATACACACACATACACACACACACACACACACACACACACACACGCACACAATTAGTTCTGTTTTTCTGAAGACCTCTGATTAATACAACATATTTTATTATATTTCAAAAGATTTTTTGCCATAGGGCATGTGCGCTTGCTGGAGAGAGAGAGAGACAGAGAAAGGGAGAAATTGCCTCCTCCCCAGGGGGGATGGCCACATCGCAATTCCTTTTCCTCCATTCTCCTCTCAGGATTTTGGGCATGCATGCACAAGTGCCCAGTGTGTTTTAAGCCTTTGGGTTTGGGATTCCAACCTCGATCAGATATGTGGGAATCCAGCACTTTAACCACTATGAGATCTGCTGACCCCAAGTACAACATATTTACAAAAAAGAAAACCACAGAAATCTGCAAAGGCAAGGTTATCCCAATGTCATTGCCATATAAGGAAAAAAGAAAGTGGTTGCTTCACAAATGTACACCTGTCCCTCTACCAGGTGGGGATGATCACCTCACATGGGAGGGACAACAAGGCCTTGAACCCTCTGTCCTCTAGCTTGTCCCTGTGCTGCACCTGTGACATACACCCTTTCTGTACCTACTCACATCAGGGTCTAGTTCATCCAGCTCATTTTCCAGAGTTCTGAGCTCTTCCTCTGTTAGGGCCCCAAGGATTTCGTCTTCATCCAAGTCACGGTACTTCTCTAGTTCTCGTCTGTATGACATTGTGGAAGAAATTGTCGTTGTCTTCTCAGTTTCCGTAATGATCTATGACCTGCCAGAAGGAAAAAGAATCTTAGAAAGACCCTTCTTGGATTTGCACTTTTGGAGCAAATTGATGCTCATCATTCACATGGTGGCCTGGGCATGTTTTCTGAATCGCCAGGATAATAATTACTGTAGTGGAATACTACACTAAGTTGGACTAATTCTCTAATAATAAACTGTGCAAAGGGAAAGTCCTGAGGACATGTGATTTGATGAATCATAATTGGTTGTAATTGGTGTGATCATTAATTACAGGTAAATGGGTAATTATAAATGGCTTACAAGTGCCTGAAGACAATTTTATTCTTTAAGAGGTTCAAATACTTTTCCGTATAACCATCTACCCTTCACCCTAAACCCCAGTGGGGATCATGAGTGCTGGGAACTCTACCCAAACTGATTTTAAAAGGGAGACGCTATGATCAGTGGTTAATTGAACACCTATGACATCTCATCAATCCTCATGTAATAGCCTGTAGTAATAGCCAACTTTTTTTTTCTTTTTTCTTTTTTTTTTTTTTGTCATAGAGTATGTGCACTCGCCAGAGAGGGAAAGTGAGAAAGTGAGAAATAACTCCCCTGGGGGATGGCCATGCCACAATCCCTTCTCCTCCATTCTCCTCCTGGGATTTTTGGGCATGCACACATGCATGTCCAGTGTGATTTCTAAGCATTAGGCCTGGGACTTGAACCACACTTGGCCATGTGGAAGTTCAGGGCCTTCGCCACACCACCTGCTGGCCCTGTAACAGCTCACTTTTACTACCATATGCCAAGCCCTGTGTTGAGTACTTCCCAAGGGCTTTCTAATTTAACCTATGAAGTAGGTCTTTACTATTAGCCTACTTTACAGATTAGGACATTGAATTTAGAGAGCATAAGTACCTTTCAAATCAGAATCACAATCTGAACTAAGGTCTGTCGGCTTTTCAAGCCTATACTGTTTCAGCCATTGTATAATATGGCACTTTTTCCACAGAGTTCCCTAATGTCATGGCAAGAAGACTGCCTAGTCTGGACTCTCATTTCCTCTCAAGTGAGTTGGGTCAAAGGGAAGATCTGATGCATGATGGGAACCCAGGGGGACCTAGGTCATGACTCTCACTTCTTGGAGAAGGCCACCATTCATTTCCAGTTTCACAGAGGAAACCTGATACTATGTGTGGACCCTGCTTCTGCCATTTCCTATAACCCTACCATTTTCATACCTGTTCACTCCATTGAGGCTTACAAAACTCCCTGTAAGCTAGGCCTTTTCATTAAAATCACTTCAATGCAGAAACTGAGGGGCCTGACTCAGGCCCCTGCACCTGAGCCCTCAGATCCTTCCCACTATGCCATGCCACCTCTCCCCTCACACAGGAGGAACAGCAAGGCCTCGAGCCCTCTGTCCTCTAGCTCGACAAATACTGTCTTATAATGTATCAAGCCCATTCAGCCATCATCGCCCTATGAAGCCTTGGTACCTCTCCCCATGAGGCCAAGCTCATCATGGCCCACCCATCTCCATGCAACTCTTGCATCCACCTGCCACTTGAGTTCTCCATGGGCAGGGCCTGGATTTGCTTCATCCCTCTCTCCCCAGGGCCTAGCCCAAGGTCTTGCAGACCCAGGAAGCGTCTCACTGAAACGAGATGTTTTTCTGCTCTCTACCTGTTTTCACTGGTCCAATCAGACAGTCCTGCAGAACGTCTAGGCTCCTTTATAGGGAAAAGTTAGCATATGCTGAAGAAGCTGCTACTCTCTCTGCATTTAAGCCTGCCCCCATCTGTCCTTTAACTACCTGAGCCGAGCCACCAGTCCACCTTTCTGAGGCGGACAGGCTGACAGGTGAGGCAGCAGCTCAGGATTTCCTTAAACCTTGCAGAATGGAGTGTAACACTATTTTTGCTGTTGTTATTTTTTAAATCATAAGTTCTTATGTAGATGTAATTGTGATACATCATTGTTGGGTACAGCATGGTTTTTAGCACCTGGCTACAGTGTGTAATAATCAAATCAAGGGTATAAGGACATTCATCATCTTCAACATTGAACTCTGCAGTATGTTGTGCACATTCAATATTTGTTCTACTAGTTTCTGGAAATATATATTGAATTGTCAGTGGCATTTTTTTATTCTGTTGTGGTACACTGTCACCTCACCTATTCTGCTTGTTTACATGCATTCTTATGTCTGTCAATCATTTCTCCTAAACCCCATCCTTCCCTCCTCCTGTGCAGCTTCTGGAATCGCCCACTACTCTATTTCTATGCCATTGAATCCTGCAGTTTCCACCATATATATTAAGTGGGGACACATATTGTCTGTCTTTTGAGGCCTGGTTCATTCCACTTAATCTTATATCTCCTAAGTTCACCCACTTTGTGTCAAATGACAGGATAACCTTGTTCTTTGAGGCTGAGTAGTAGTCCATTGTGTGCATATGCCATGTTTTCTTTATCCATTCATCAGTTGTTGGCACTTAGGTTGATTCCATGTCTCGGCTATTGTGAATAGTGCTATAAACAGGTAAACAGGGATAAGCCAATGTCTCTCTGACAGAGTGATTTCCTGTTCTTTGGGTACATATTCAAAAGTGAGAAAGTGAGAGGGACCAGCAGTTGGCATAATGGCTATGTCCCTGGACTCCTTTATAGTCAACTGCGGTTCGAGTCCTGGACCCGGTAGCTTAAACTCACACTGGGTGCGTGTGTGTGCGTGCCTAAGATCCTGAGAGGAGAATGGAGGAGAAGGGATTCAGGTGTGCCCATGCCCCTTGGGGAGTGATTTCTCACTTTCTGTCTCTCTGTCTTTCTGGCAAGCGCACACATCCTATAGCAAAAACCTCTGAAAAAAAAAAAAAAAAGGCCGGATTACTGGATCAAATGATAGATATGTCTTTAAATGTTTGAAGAACCTCCACAATGTTCTGCATAGTAGCTATACAAGTTAACATGCCCACTAGCAGTACACAAGGGTTTCGCTTTCTCTGCAAGTTCACCAGCATTTGCTATTCTTTGGTTTTGTTTGCTTGTTTTGTTTTGTTTTGATAATAGCCATAGGATATGTTCCTGTATATGGAATCAGGAGGATTGGTTGGTGAATATCTTCAAGAATTTATATGTTGAAATAGAACGCTAACCCCAGTAACTCAGTGCCGCATTATTGGTAAGAATGTGACCTTACCTAGAAGAAGGGTCATTGAATGTAACTGGCTCATAGATGAGGTCCTGCTGAGTGTGGTGGGCCCCTCATCCAGTATGACTGGTCCTTATGAAAAGAGGAAGTCAGGGTGCAGGCATACACCCAAGATGAACACCATGTGACAAGGAAGGCAGAAGTCAGGATGATGTTTCTATAAG